AAAGACGAAATGCCTGGATAAGGGCTGCCCGGTGGAAGGGGTACCAGGTACCAAAACAGCAATTCAGAGCCCTTACATAAGCCCCACCCAGAAGTCAGCATGGGCGGGAGCTTCGCAGACCCATATTCAGGTTGTGCAGCACCCAGTAGAGGCTGAGAGAAGAACCATAGCTTTGTCTCTGAAGGATACAAGATGGCGAAATAACATCTTAGAGAAAACATGGCCAACCTGGAAATCCTAACTTCCAGGACAAGATTTCAAAAGCCTCATGCTGGATTGGCACGCATCTCAAGCTTGTTCCGATCAACAGTAATGCTGGTATCTTAGACCCAGCCATCTTTTTTCTCCAGTCTGATCCCAGGGATGGCCCAAGATGTCCAACAAGGTCCTCTTTCCTGACTAGAAACCTCCGTGGAAGCTCTGTGACAGCTCCTGCAAGATGGATGTAGGCAAAAGGACCCGGAAGTCACAAATGGTACCCAACTCTCACCTTCCCAGTCCCAGGATACAGGAAACCCTGGAACTTTCCTGAGATCTGGGCCCTGATAGTAACAACATCAGGCACTGAGTTTGATCACCCCTCTCACTCTCAACTCTCAACGGGAAGTAGACAGACCTGGTCTGAGTATGCTTAAGCCCTCTGAGCCTCAGTTTCCTTGCTTGTAAACTATCCGTATTTCAGACTTGGTATTCGGATTGATGAGATAATATCCACAGAACACTAAGAAAAGTGCCTGATGCACAGAGGCATTCAACAAATATTTCACTTCCTTCTTGCCACTCATAGTTCCCAGATCACCATTCTGTATTCCGTCTACCTCACTGTACTGCCTCTTTCACAGTATATGTTTGGAATGGAATTGCATCATTTTCCAGGCAGAGAGGCCGTAATTTCAACAACTTTTGCATGTGACTTTGACTCACCATCTGAGGAGGCGATGTAGCAGAGGAGATAAGAACATGGACACTGCAACCCAACTCCCTGGTTGTCCAACAACCAGCTTTGTAACCTTAGGCAAGTTACTTGATTACTATGTGCCTTAGTTTGCTCTTCAGTAAAGTAGGGATGAAATTATACCTGCCTCACGTGATTAAACGTGCTAATGAATGTTAAAGCCCTGAGAACAAAGCCGATACAGGTTTGTTATTATTGTCTCCTTTGGAATTGGAGGAGGGAGAAGAGAATCCAGTGTCCCAAGCAGGGTCAACAGTAAAGAGTCCAAATGCAAGGGAGTGGCAAGGTTGCCCAGCCCACACTTGAACTTGGCAGTCACTGTGCATCTACTCTGTACGCTGAGCTCAACTAGGGAGGAGGGAGGTGGTCAGAGATGAACTAAAACACAGTAGTAGCGTGACTTTAATTAAATAAATTAATGTCAGTGGGTCTCAATTTGCTGGGAGCCGTGGCTACATCATTTGATCGGCTGTTTGACAGGGTCCAGCCGATTAACGCCTAGGGGTGCAGGGTCGCCCCTTGGTGAAGAATAACCGGCCGGCCCCTCATATACTTCTGAAACCTGTGCTGCTTCTAATTGCCCTTCATTCCTTTTCCTTTCTTAACCTCCAGTTTTCACTCCTTTGGGTGGCTGCTTGGGAGGCACTACCTCCCGGGAAAATTAGATATAGTAAGAGAAGGTGACCACCTGCAGGTAACTTTCAAGATATTTTTCAGTTAATTAATGGAGGAGCACACAGTCCCATTTGAGACAATCAGAAAGGAATCCTGCCCAGATAAGATGTCGAATTAGGTTTATGGCCTCTATTTGGTTAATGTTTCCTTCTCCCTCCAGTTCTTTGTCTAAATATATATATGCATCATCCTTCTAAGTTTGCTGGTTAATTGGATGATCAAGAAGTATCTATATATTATTCTTGACCTGCTGCTTTCTGTTAAAATGTTATAGAGGTTTTCTCCTAAAAGCAATAAATAATAAATAATTGATGAGTAGAAGGGCCGAGGGGTGCAGGGATGCCCCTCAGTTGGGTCTCAATATTCTGATCTATAAAACGATTTTTGGATCTTGGTTTCTAGAGTCCTTTCCTGATCTAAGAGTGGCTTTGATGCCGTGGAGAAAAGACTTCACAGGAGTCACCTCAGTCAGAAATTTTAGTGTCACTGCTTGAGCCAACGTGACCAAAGACCAATGACTGGCCCACAGATATTGCCCAGCATATAGATAAGAGACCCTCAAGGGAAGATTTTTGACATTAACCCCAGATGAAGTTATTCATTCTGTCACAAGATCGCACTGACACCATTGAAAAGCATTTACCACACAAACTGAGTATCCCGTTAGCAGATCCTACCACTTGGGGTGTACAAAGAATTAATATTTTTGTAAGATCAGGATTCATCTTGATCTTTTTTTTCTGTAGACTTGTGTGTCATTTGGTCAAAATTTTGAGTTTTTTTAGATTCAAAATGTACCCTTTTTTAGTCATTTCTCCATTTTTTTTAATGCAATGGAAGTATCTCACCTTCACTCTTGATCTATGAGATATCTCGAGGTTCTTTCCCTTTGATTGCCTCACTCCCTGGCCAGCCCCTGGTTTGTCAAGGAGTTAGGGGTCAGAAAGCTATAATTAGGGGAAGGAGACATGGAGAAGGGGGTGCGGCCCCAGATACATGCCGTTTGCTGATGGCAACAGCTACAGCTTCCTACCAGCTACCCCTTATTAGATTACCAGTGTCCTGAGGGTGGATCTCCGTCCTTGCATCATTCAACACACACTAGTTGTTTATTAAATGTTTGTTGAATGAAATCGAGTTGAACTGGAACTGTTACGAGGCTTAAAAACCACGATGAGACACTGAGCTTTCTGAGGGTGGGCATGGGGTCTAATGCGCATCATTTCCGGCTTATAATAGGCATTCATTAAACTCCGCTCTCCTTGATGTGGTTGGCCATTTCTCTTTCCAACCACACTCTTCTCCTTTAGCTTCTGAGGCTGTGTTCTTCTGGTTTCCCTCCTACCTCCCTGGCGGTGCTTCTTAGTCTCCTTGGATAATTCTTCCTCTGCTCCCAGATCTCGGAATGCTGGACGTCTCCTCTCGGTACCTGCTGCCCTTAGCTTATCTTACATAGACCTATCCCTTTAAATATCACCTATATGCTGACAACTCCCAAATGCGGATCTTCAGCCCAAAGGTCACAAAAGTCTGGACTCCTGTTTGATATTTGGATGTCCTACAAGTATCTCAAACTTGCATTCAAAACAGAACATTTAATTTAAACTACCTTTCAGCTACCCAAACATGGCCCTCCCTCAGTCACCACAACACTGCCAAATGTCACTACATTACCATCAGGTTGGTTAAATATGAAACCCAAGGATCACCCTTGGTTCCTCCATTTCCCCAGCTACTCAATGTCTAATCTATGGACAAGTCCTGTTAATCCTCTCTCCTGAATAATCCTTGATTTCATTCACTTCTCTCCATCTCCACTGCCCAGTACACAAAGCCAGTATCCTTCCTTCTCTGGACTTGGGCAATAGCCTGCTCAGCGGTCTTCCTGCTTTCAATCTTACCTCTCTTCAGTCCATTCTCTGTGTAGAAGCCAAAGTTATCTTTTAAAACTATATACATTGAAGGGGCTGGCCCCGTGGCCGAGTGGTTAAGTTCACGTGCTCCGCTGCAGGCGGCCCAGTGTTTCGTTGGTTTGAATCCCGGGCGCGGACATGGCACTGCTCATCAAACCACGATGAGGCAGCATCCCATATGTCACAACTAGAAGGACCCACAAAGAAGAATATACAACTATGTACTGGGGGACTTTGGGGAGAAAAAGGAAAAAAATAAAATCTTAAAAAAAAAATATATATATATACATTGAACCATCTTGGTCCTTACTTAAAACCTGTTAATAACTTCTTTTTGTACTTGGAATAAAATCCAAACTCCTTGCCATGTCCTAGAAGACCCTGAATGATCTAGTCTTTGCCTTTTCTAAACTCATCTTCTTCTACTTGCCCACACCCACAGACCACATGCATCCGCCTCTTCTTCATTTCTCACTCTCTGCCCGGAGCACCTCCCCAGCTCCTCAGATGCCTGGCTTCTTCTTTTATGCTGGGTCTTAGCTTAAATGTCACTGCCTCAGGACATCCATGATCACCCTGCCTCTCCCATTATTCTCTGCTTTTGCATGTTGTTGGTTACAGCACTTACACAAGTTGTCATTTTATACATACATTTATTTGTTTTCTTGCTTATTGTCTTTTTCTCTGGACTCTAAGCTCAAGACAGGAACAATGAGTGCCTTGTTCTCCCTAGGGCCCAGGACAGTGTCTGGCAGTTATAAGGTGTTCAATAAACACAGGTGAGAAGAAAGGTAAGAGAAAAATGGAGGGAGAAAGGAGAAAAGAAAGGAAAGAAAGACAGAGAGAGAGAGAGAGAGCAAAGGAAGAGGAAGGAGCGAAAGGAGGAGGTGGAGGAGGAATTGGAGGGAAGGAAGAAAGTGGAGAGAAGAGGAAGGGAAGGAGGAATAAAATCTGTTAGACCAGCATCATCATAAAGATGGTAGATGCTTAGAGTAAGGGAGCTGTTCGGTCACCTCTGAGGAGTCAGGCAGACAGTGCACCCGTCACATTCGGAACCAGCTGTGAGATCTTGGGCAAGGCCCTTACCTTTGCTGAGCCTCTTCTTCTCACCAAGAAAATGAAGTTGTAATACTTTTCTCCTAGGGCTATGAAAGAAGAGTAGCTGAAATAATTTATCAAGTACCTGGCACTGGCAGAGGAAGGAAGGAAGGGAAGGAGGGAGAAAGAAAAACTTAAGTCCTGAGAACTGGCAATCAGTTTTTCAATTTTTGGGTTTTTTTGATAAAATGCTATTTGAAAAGAACCTGTTAGGGACCACACTTGGACTACGGAAGCAGACTGGAATTGTGGAGCAGCTTCAGTGCACAGCGGAAGGGCAGTCTGCTCTCCAGGAGACAGTCACCTCCTGGTGAAGCTGACGTTGATGTTGACGAGCCGGCTTTAATGAGGAAGGAGGGGTCGGTTTCCATGGAGTGAACACAACAAGACAGGCAGCTAAGACTCCCTCCAGCACGGAGCGGAGCGCCTCCAGTTTCAACCAAGACAGTAAGTATTTTTGCATTAGCCTTGTCTTCAGATGTTTACTGTAGTTATTATAGATCATTCATACTGATTAGAACTTATATTTATGGGCTACATTTTTACATTGAGACACCTGTACCAGAAAGATAGAAATTCGAGTGCACCTAATCAGTTACAAAGATTCATGTGTATTTGCTAAATTTTAGTAGTCAGTGGTAAGCTAGTGGATTGCATATGTTTTCTACAAATAAATTTTTGTTTTTTTAAGAAAGCCTCTAATGAATAGTATCATTTATTTTATTTTATTTTTTTTGTGAGGAAGATTGGCCCCGAGCTAACGTCTGTTGCCAGTCTTCCTCTGTTTTGTATGCGAGAAGCTGCCACAGCATGGCTTGATGAGCAGGGTGCACAGGTCTGCACCCAGGATCCGAACCTGCGAACCCTGGGCCCCAGAAGTAGAGTGTGCAAACTTAAACACTATGCCCTTCATTTACTTTTTAAACAGCTTTATTGAGATACGCTTTATATACTACAAAATTCATCCATATAAGGTACACAGTTCAGTGGTTTTTAATATATTCAAAGTTATGAAAGTGTCACCCTCCACTATCTAATTTTAGGACAGTCCATCACCCCAAAAAGAAATCCTGTACTACTCATTTAGCAGTCACTTCCCACCCCCACCTCATCCTAGTCCTAGACAACCAATAATCTACATTTTGTCTCTACAGATTTGCCTATTCCGAGCATTTCACATAAATGGAATCACACAATATGTGGGCTTTTGTGTCTGGCTTCTTTCACGTTGCATGTCTTCAAAGTTCATCCACGTAGTCCCATGCATCAGTTCTTCATTCCTTTCTTATTGTCATAAAATATTCTGTTGTGTGACTATTCCACATTTCCTTTAGGCATTCATCGATTAATGAACATTTGGGCTGTTTCCACCCTTTGGCTATTATGAATAAGGCTGCTATAAATCTGTGTGTACTAGTTTTCATTTCTCTTAGGTAGATATCTAGGAGCAGAGTTACTGGTCATATGACAAGTCTATGTTTAACCTTTTGAAGAAATACCAAACTGCCTTTCAAAGGGGCTGCACCATCTTACATTCCCACCACTGTGTGTGAGGGTTTCAATTTCTGCGCATCCTCACCAACACTTGTTATTGTTGTCTTTTTTATTATATCCATCCTAGTGGGCGTGAGGTGGCGTCTCATTGTGGTTTTCATTTGCATTTCTCTAATGACTAACGATGTTGAGCAGGTTTTCATGTGCTTATTGACCTTGTGTTTATTTTTTTTTTTGGAGAAACTTCTGTTTATATTTTTGGATCATTTTAAATTATTTGTTTTTTTATTGTTGAGTTGCAAGAGTTCTTTATATTTTCTGGATACAAGTCCCTTATCAGATATATGTTTTGCAAATATTTTCTCCCACTCTGTGGCTGCTTTTATACTTTCTCAAAGGTATCATTCAAGGAAAAATTTTTTTTTTAAACTTTGGTGAAATCCAATTTATTTAACTTTTTCTTTAGTCTCTTGTTCTTTTGTTGTCACATCTAGGAACCATTGCCTAACCCCATGTAATGAAGACTTGCTCTCATGTTGCCTTCTAAGAGTTTTACTTTTAGGTCTTGTGTTTAGGTGTGTGATCCATTTTAAGTTAAGTTTTATATATGACATGAGATGGAGGACCAATTCATTCTTTTGCATGTGGCTATCCAATTGCATCAGTACCATTTGAAAAGACTATTCATTCCCCATCGAATTTTCCTGGCAATTTTATTGAAAATTAATTGACCATAAATGTAAAGGCTTATTTCTGGACTCTCAATTCTGTTGCATTGCTCTATATGTCTATCTTTATGCCACATAGTGTACTTTGTACAACGCTGTATTGATTATCGTCTTTGTGGTAAGTTTAGAAATCAGGAAGTGTAGTCCTTCTACTTTGTTCTTCTTTTTCAAGATTGTTTTGGCTGTTCTGAGTCCCTTGCATTTCCATATGAGTTTTTAGGATCACCTCATCAATTTCTCTTCAAACAAACTTAGTTACCCATTGAAAACTTCTTCTTGAATTATACCTTATCCATGGGAAGTTGTGGAATTTCCTTGATAGGAACTCAAATGTGGTTAAGTGTAAATCTGCTTGAAGACTTGTGTGAAAAGCAAGCAAAGAGACTTCTAGACACTGATTCTAGAAATGGTTTGGCTTTCATGACACCTGCAGGTTAGAAACCCTGTAGTACTTCTGTTTACTGCTTTATTTTGTCATTGATCAAATGCTCCAGTGTAAAGGTTTTCTACTAAAACAAACAAACCAAAAAGATAAAACGCATTCTGTGCCGTCTTCTGTTACCTAACATTTGTATTGAGCACCCATTTCAAGCAAAGAAGCATGTCCTTGTCCTATACACTCAGAGATTCTGAACCACTTGAGGAAGGCCCAGGTATTTATTTTTTAAAATAAAGTTAAATAAGTTTTTTATTTTTTGCCATGAGGACTTGTTACAAATGCAGGATCTCAGTTCCCATTGCCAACCTACCGAAGCAGAATCTATATTTTAACAATACACCAGAGGTTGGTAAATTATGGTCTACAGGCCAAATCTGGCTCACCCTCTGCTTTTGTAGACCCATGGTCACCACCTAGGGTGGTGGATCTCAGTGGGAGAGCCAGCTGAGGTGACTCTCTCTACTTCTGCTCCCCTGTCTGCTCCCAGCACTTGCCTCCCAAGACCATGGTTGTGCCTAGCCACTGCCCAGGGCCCTGCTGGTCACCACCTACACTTTAGGGACTCTGTTGTTGGCAGCTGCCGGGCACTGAGCAGTGCAATCTCAGTCTAATCAAGTCATCTTCCCTTCGCCAGCTGTCAACTTGAGATGGTCGGGTTTGGAGAGGAGAGAGGGGACTCTGCGATCTGGGCATCACTGGGGCAGAGTGAAAGTGACTGTCCCACAGGCCAGGTCCCTGCCCCTCAGGCTGGTTGCCCTTCTCCCTGAGAATATCTTCAGCTGAGGGCTCCCGGGTACAAAGCATGCTCATCCACCACCACCAGCCCTTCCTCCCCCAGGATGGCCCACACCTGGTAAACAGGGCAGGAGTTTTCTCTTGTTACATAATAATCCTAATTTTGCTTCTTGGCCTACAAAGCCTAAAAAATTTCCTATCTGGTCGTTTACAGGACCCTTGGTCTGCACATTAAATTGGAGCTATGTGCACTTTGCAGAATGTGCCTCTCCGCCACAGACATTCTGTGCCCGTGCTGGGATCCTCCACCACTGACAGTCCCCAAGATGACTCTTATTCTTAGCTTTGGGACCCAGCTTATGTCACTTTCAGAGGAAAGTGCCTTTCACTTCCTAGTCTTGGTGAATGGTCCTTTCCGTCTGTCCCCAGAAAATCACTGCCATCATGACACTTAGGGCATTGCACGTTAATTATGTTATTTACTTCTTTTCTATCCACTCTAGGACTGTCTTCATGTTTCAGTGTACATCAGACTCACCTGGAGCACTTACTCTAACTCAGGTCACTAACCCCCGACTCTAGTTTCTAATTCAGTAGATCTGATTTGCGTTTGTAACAAATTCTTGAGTGGTGCTGCTCCTGCTGGGCCACAGTCTGTATGGCTGACTCCAACTTCTTCTTGAGATCTCAACTTAAATGTTGAGATCAAAGCGACATTCCCAATGGCCCCATCTCAAGTGACTCTCTCCTTGTTCTTTTTTTTCTATCTCAGCTCCTTATTTGTTTATATCAGTAATTCTCAACCTTTTTTGGTCTCAGCACTCCTTTACACTCTCAAAACTTATGGACAACCCCAGAGAGCTTTTGTTTATGTGGATTAAAGCTATTGATATTTACCCGACTAGAAATTAAAACTGAGAACATTTAAAAATGTTTATTAATTCATATACAAAAATCATAATAACTGTAATGCACGACATAAATAACATTGTTATGAGAAGTAATTATATTTTCTAAAACAAAAAATGTGAGAAGAATAGTATTGTTTTACTTTTTTTTGGTCAAATCTCTTTAATATGTAGCTTAATAGAAGACACCTGGATTCTTATATCTGTTTCTGCATTCGATTTCTTGTTTCGGTTGAAGTCTACAAAGAAAATATAGCTTTGCACATATTTAAAATTAGAAAAGGGAAAAGTATTTTATAGTCTTTCCAGATAATTGTGGATATTCTTCTTTAATACTATGCCAAAACTGGACAAGTGGCAGTGCCTTAAAGGTTAGTTGGGATCTGAAACAGTCTCAATGTACTTTTCATACCCTGTTCCACTAAACTCCATTGCCCTGTCTTGCATGGATCTCTTTACTTATGCATGATTTTGTAACATCGTACGCTTGTCATATGGAAAATAGTGGTTCACAGAGTTATGCAGCCTTTCCATATGTTGACACATTTCATTACACAATATTTTTAAACTGCTTTTATTAAGTCATATAATCAAGGGTCAAAACTTAATCAAAATAAATCTTACTGCTTTAGTTGCTTTACTGAAACTAGCTTTTGTTAACTGTGTGTGTGTGGTGGTGAAGAATTCCATTACTGCTAGCCCAGTTTCGCGTCACTGCCCAGGGCCTTGCTTCGTGCTAAGGCACGAGCAGCTCTCTACGTCATTGCTTTTGAACCATCAGGGCAATGGTCAGCACAGTGAACAAGGCCAATGACATTTTAACGTTATCATGAAAATAACTTTGACCTCATGGATCCCCTGATCCCAGGGATTCCTAAATGTTTCTAGACTCTAGTTTGAGAATTGTTGGTTTATATCTTAATGTTGTAAACAATTTGTAGCCATTTTATTTGTATGTTTGCATCTTGTTCATCTCCTGAATTGGTGTAGCGGTAGTATTTAATTTCCAGGGAGTACTTGATCTGTATTCAATATATTTTCACATGGATCATCATTATATCCTCACAACGACCCTGGCAAATTATACCCATTCTATAGGTGAGAAAGGTAAGGCACAGAATTACACAACTAACTCAGAGTCACACTACTTGCTTTGGAGCAAGAGTAGGAAATAGCACTGGAAAGTGCTTTGAGGCCAAATAGCAGATGCCAGCCCCATGAGTTTACCTGATAATCCTGTAGGCAGAGGGGAGCCATTGATAGTTTTGGGTCAGGGGACTGGCATCCACTAACCGCAGTGGCTAAGATCCAAACACACACTCAGCAGAGCATGCACACGAAGCAGCCCTGGATGCAAATTTATGAGGTAGGAAAGAAAATAAACGATAAAGAATCCTATGGAATCACTCACTAGGAATAAGGAGTTGTAGAATTTCCTAAGCGGCATGCTTTTCCCACAGTTGTTTTTTCTCATGGAACTAACACTGACCAAAATGTCGGACATGACAAAGCTCCACCAAGCTGTGGCTGCGGGGAATTACAGTTTAGTGAAAAAGATTTTGAAGAAAGGTCTCTGTGACCCAAACTACAAGGACGTGGACTGGAATGACCGAACCCCACTTCACTGGGCTGCAATCAACGGTGAGTGGGCTTAGGTAGAATCCACCCCTTTGAGTCCAGCATTCATGAAGTTACCAGTCAGTAGTCTGTGTGGGGTTGTAAAAAGAACACTTCTTGGGAACCAGACAGAACATTTCCATCCTGGCACCACCAATTACTGGTTGTAGTGCCGTAAACAAGTTATTTAACATCTCTAGGCCTTAATTTATTCATCTATATAATGGGAGCAATAATGCTACCTTGGAGCCTTGTGGGGAGGATTCAGTAAGAGAATGGGCGTACAGTGCCTATCAATCGTCTGCTGTCAGTTAATATTAGTCCTCTGCCCTCTTGCCCTCTAACAGGAATGGAGCATCGTTCCTGTTGTAGGACAGGGACTTTGCCTTGCTCATCACTGTATCTCCCATGCCCAGCATGGCTCAGTTATGGAACTGGAGATAGATAGTGGCAAAAACTCAGCCAAGGGGCTTGTCAGGGCCTTCGGCAACAGAACACCATTGAAGAAATTAAATAAGAAAGTATTATAGTCAACTTTGCTTTGTAAAAATTTGTTTGATTCCTTATGGAGAACGGATTGGCAGGAAGCAAGACTGGCTGCAGAGAAATCAGATGGGAGAATTTTGTAGAAATTTAAGGAGGAAGTGATAGTAGCTATGCTAGAGCACCTTTTAGTGAATATTTGCTGTATGCTGGGCGTTGTGCTGTGCACTCGCGTCTGTGATTTCATTTGTACTTGACAAGAACTAGGTGAGGTAAGTGGTAATAGCCTTAATTTACAGATGAGGAAACTGAGCCTCACACATTTGTTTCTTGTCTGTGGTACCTACTTCGCACTGGTATTTATTGTCAGGTATGAACCCACATCTGTCTGACTAGAAAGCCTGTGCTCTTAAGCTGTGCTAGCTAGAATGTAAGTAGAACTTAAATTTTTTTTTATTAAGGTATAATATACATACAATGTTATATCAGTTTCAAGTGTACAGCATGATTTGCCTTTTGTATATATTGCAAAGTGATCACCACAGTAAGTTGAGTTAACATCTGTCATTACATGTAGTTACACAATTGTTTTTCTTGTGATAGCTTTTAACATTTACTGTCTTAGCAACTTTCTAATATGCCGTCCAGGCTTCTTACCGACAGTCACCATGCTGTGCATTACATGCCCACGACTTATTTATTTTATATCTAGAAGTTTTGTACCTTTTGACCCCCTTCACCTATTTCACTCATCCTCCCACCCGCTGCCTCTGGTAACCACCAATCTGTTCTTTGCATCTATGAGCTTCGTTTTTTTTTAGATTCCACATATAAGTGAGACCATATGGCATTTGTCTCTGTCTGACTTCTTTCACTCAGCATAATGCCCTCAAGGTCCATCCATGTTGTGGCAACATATTTGTTTTTGAAATCAGCTTTGGGACTGCTGAAAGCCCAGTGAGGCTTGCCAGTGCCAGCAGAGGCAGGTGCAGAGTGACTTGGGAGAGAAAGCAAGATTCCTAGGCAGGGCCTGCGGGGAGGGACAGGGGAGCAGAGTGCCCGGGAGGGAGTGTGAGGGGGTATGGCAGGTCCTCAGGCCCCAGGTAGGAGTGAGGTCCCTGGGATAAGGGTGGGGCACTGAGTCCCTGGGAAGGAGTGGGAGAAGGGAGGAGGGGCTGAAGTTAGGAAACCGGAGGGGCCTCAAAGGCAAATGTTTTCACCTCTTTTTGTGCTACCTAGGCCCGCTCTCACCTCAGTCTGGCAGACATTTTAATCTTAATCTCCTCCTGTTTCTTCTTGGTACATCGAAGGGCATATGGAGGTGATGCAGATTCTCATAGAACACGGAGCCAGGCCCTGCCTGGTAACTGATGTGGGCTGGACCCCGGCTCATTTTGCAGCTGAGTCAGGACATCTGAATGTGCTCAAAATTCTCCACACGTTGCATGCCGCCATCGATGCCCCTGATTTCTTTGGAGACACACCAAAGAGGATCGCAGAGATCTATGGGCAGAAAGCCTGTGTGGCATTCCTGGAGAAGTAAGTTTCATTTATTTCCAGCTCTAGAAAGGGCAGAGAACCAGGAGCCTGTGATTAAAGTCTTTGCAGACTCAGTGGTCTCAGGTCGACAAAAATGAAGTGAGGAAATCCAGCCAACTGTTGTTTGAGTCGTTTTTATTAATTTTCCATTGAAATGACTAGTTGGAGGTGGAAACTATATTGTTTTAGATTATGTAAGATCTATTGTTTTTAAATTGTACAAAAATTATAATTATTATAATTTTAATAATATAATTTCTAATTATTGTTTTGGATTATACAAAAATGATCTCAGATAAGAGAGGTGGGACACCAAATTTGAAAATGGGACATGGTACCAGATTCATGGACCCCCTCCGATTCCTCAAAGGTATTCAAACTGGCTGCCTGACCTTGGGCAAATTAAATCTCCTTCTGGAGCCTCAGTTTCCTCATATTTAAGATGAAGCAGGTGAATTCAGCTATCATTCATATGGACCCTTCTACTTTTTAAAACTTCTACTCATCTATGAATCTCCTACTCACACACCTGCAAAAGATAAGAACTTTTCTAGCATTTGTTAATTTTTTCTCTTAGCCAAGCATTCAAATAGAATTAAGTATTAATGATGTACATGACAGTTCGTGCTCTGAGAGGAATGGAAATAAAATTTAGGAGCTTATAATCTGATTGAATTAATAAGTAATTCACACAAGAGACCGGAAAGTTACAGAGTGAGGACAGCATTGCTTGATAAAATGAGATAATAGCAAACATATCATTAGGGCAGTTCATGACAGTGAAATGTCCTCCTAAAAACTTGAAAATAAAGTTAGCTTCAGAAAGTGAAACTAGTAAAATCTTTGCCTGTGATGAGATTGATTATCTGCAGAAGTAACCCAAGAGAACTTCTCTTACAAGTGATGACCCATGTTAAAAAAATTCAAAATCATAATCAAGATGATTTGGGGAGTAAAGAGGCAGAACCTGGAGTCCTGACCTGAAGACTCTCTCTTCTTCCCAATCCTGCCATTATCCCCTACATTCAATGATCTCCATCAGCTGTGCGCCTCAGTATCAGCAACATTGTTCTCTGAACTGTTTAAAACTTCAACATACCACAGTGTGACCATATTCATTTTACCCATTCCTGGATCATCACACAGTTATTTGAGTGCATCAAGGTCTCTTCTCACTCAACTTTTTCTTTCCCTCCCAATCTATCACCTGCCTGAAGGTTTCGTTATCTTCCATCTGTCGCTATCTGGACACTAGGATACACTGCTTCTTCCACTCTCTTCCCACTTTTCTAAAGTTTCTAATCTTTTGTCTTTCTGTAGCATATAAGCCAGAATTCCCAACCTTGGATCAGTCTCTGTCTTCTCCACTCCTATGCTTGGTCTACTAGAGAAAAGCCCACAGATCAGTAGACCACCAGATCAGTAGGTATCACCAGAAGTTCTAAGATTTCTGTCTTCAGCTGAGCCCTCAGAGCAGTTTGTCTGTCTCTTCCTGTCCTACTTCCTCTTTGACAACCCCAGGTCCCCATCCCACCACAGCCTGTCCCGCAGAGGGTATGCTGTCTAGTTCACAGAGAATATTGAAGCCATGCGTGTACATTTTTAAACCTCTTACACCTACATATAGCGTATAAATCTACATCTGATTCTTCTCACCATCCTGTCCATCCTTCTCGAGAAGTGTTATCCATCCCTACAGACCCTTGATCTAATCCTTTGCGTCTCCTACAAGATCATCCATGCGTATTCTTTGTTGTATCTTTCATTCTCTCTTCTGTATTTTTAGTTTTTTTCCTATTTCTTCCCTTCATTTCTCTTTGGCCTATGAACATATTTAGATAGATCTTATTGAACAAACACACGGTTGGAGGCCCTTCTGATGTCTAACATGCCTTTCATCTTCCCTACATTTCTTAGCTACTTGAAAGGTAATCTATGTAAACGTCTCTACATCCTCACTCACTCTGCAGACTCCTTTCTTCATCATTGCACTGAATCTTCCTCCAGGGAGATCCCTGTTGCTAAATCAGTGGGCTCTTCTCAATTCACATCTTACCGCCACTTAATTTGCTATTTGATAATTCTCTCTTGCTTTGTCTAATGCTACTCTCTTCTACTTCTCCTTCTACCTATCTGGCCATTCCTCTCATGATGTTTCTAAGCTCCTGTTCTTGCATACCTTTTAGATGCTGAAATTCCTCAGTGTCCTGTGTGACTCTCCTCTACTGACTTTCTTTGAGTAGTCTCACCCTCGTGACCAATGGGTGGGTGAACATGGTACACGATTCCAGCATAACTGACGTGGAGGAGGAGTGGTTCCTCCAAATAATGGGGAGTGCTATCACCAGGAAAAGTGGGCAGGAAGTGCTGAGCCAACAAAAACAAGGAAGGTCAACCACATCACGTGTAAGTCATTTCTACTTATCATCATCTCCCATATCACATGTAAGTCATTTCTACTTAGCATCATCATCATGAGGAGCTTCCTTTCTGAAAGAGTGTTTAGAGAGAAGGAATCCTGGTTAAGGGGAAATTAATCTGGATCTTGAAATATAGCTAAGATCTGGTTAACGGAGGAGGGAGAAAGAGTCTTGATTTGGCGTGAAGGCATCAAGTTGGAAATGTGCATACACTGTGTGTATATGTGAGGAGGTGGAGGGATAGTGGAGGGATGAGTGGCCTGGCTAAGTAGAGCATTCACGCTGAGAGAAGTAGTGAATAAGGTTGGGTGGGTGGGTGACCACAGTGAGCTGGGCAAGCAGATGAATGTGAACTCAGCAGGGGATTGACAAGGTGAAACAGACACTTTAGCAAAGTCACTCCTGTAGTGGAAGAGGTGGCCGTGGTGCTGTGCAGGCAGCATTGGAGCACTCAGCCTGTAGGCAAGGAGCTCACCTAAGGAATTTCTTAACGCTTCATGTTGCAAGAGGGTGGATTTCTGGGCTAGGAAGATGAAGAGAACGGTATAAGTGAATTTCAAAAGAAGCCTAGACAGTATTTCATAATTTTCTGACTATCCTACGGATCCTAGCGGAACAATTCAACTTTTGATTCAACCTCTCTAAGTAGCAAATCTCTCATTCGAAAAATATTTTTGAGCCCTACTATGTGCAAGGCATTGATCTAGATACCAAAAAGGATTCAAAGATAAATCAGATACAGTGCTGGACATTAAGAAGTTCCCTGGCTGGGAGAGGAGATAACTTGTTTACATAAATAACGCTAACACGAGACTGAAAGTGACAAAACAGCATATGTGGTCTGAATATGGAGAGGTCACTTCTAGCCTGCTCAGGGAGATGGGGGCTGACGGACAAGCAGGTTTACTATCCTCTTAATGGACTGTGCTTTTCATAATGCTTTGCACTTAAGATACTGTTTGCCCTCCCCATACCATCATCTAGCCTCTCAAATTCCACTTGTCCTCATATTGGCTCAAATTTTATCTCTGTGAAGTGGCTTTCACATTTCACATTAAAGCCACATCTTTAAGCGAGTCACACACTCACCTTTGGCCTCATATATAAAACGGTACTTTTGTATGCTTCCCATTGTCCATGTGTATATGATGATCAATTCATCAACCTATTTCTCTATTGATCATCTATTCTATTTTTCTATATCTATCATCTATGTATCATTTAACTATTCCTTACATAAATCCATCTATACATAAAATACATATGCAATTATGAGTAATTTTTATTTTCTTCTTTAGATGTTTCTGTACCTTAAAATTTTATACAATGAAGAGACATGGCTTTTATAATTAGGAAAAACTACAATTAAAAAATAAATGAAGGGGGCTGGCCCAGTGGTGTAGCAGTTGAGTTCACCTGCTCTGGTTTGTTGGTCTGGGGTTAACCAGGTGGGATGCTGGGAATTGACCTAGACGTGGCTTATCAAGCCATGCTGTGGCAAGAGTCCTACATATAAAATAGAGGAAGATGGGCACAGATGTTAGCTCAGGGCCAATCTTCCTCAGCAAAAAGAGGAGGATTGGTGGCAGATGTTAGCACAGGGCTACTCTTCCTCAAAAAAGAAAAAATAAAATAAATGAAGGAAAACAGCCTCCCAATAATATGCTGGTTGCTCTATAAATGTGAGCACTTTAAGAATTAGCAGTGTCTTCTTCAAGTTAAGTGCCTGTCTCAGATTCTATTAACATCCCACTCCGAGCACGCCATTTTTCTCCACCTCCAAGTAGTTTCTTTCGTGTCTGAGACCTCTCTAAGGGGACACTTGGAAATGCTCCAACTTGGCCTCCTCCCTTCTTGTCTGTGTCACGGAAACCCCAGGCTGTGTGCAGGGGGCGGGAAGTGAGGTCTGTTTCCTGTCCGCGCTGAGAGCCGCCCTGTTCCCCTCTGCCAGGGCCGAGCGGGAGTGCCGGGACCACCGCCGCATCGCCAGGCAGCAGGGGCTGCCGCTGGACCAGAGGGACGAAGACTGGGACGCCAAGAAAAGGGAGCTGGAGCTGTCTCTTCCTTCCTCCAATCAAAACACTAATAAGAAAAAGAATAAGAAAAGTCAAGGCCCCACCAGGCTCAGCAATACCAAGGGGAGAAGATGGTGAGGAGGCCGGCGCCTGAGCGACTGGAACCTACATTTTCCGATAGGAGACTTTCCCTGGCGCCAGACTGGAAAGTGTTAGGCGCGTGTTGTCTTTATGTGATTTCACTTGTAGGCCATTACCCTCACGGCTTCCCCGAGAGCTCATGACCCGTCATTCAATCTGGAAGTCTGGCCTGGGTGATCTCTACACGGGCTGTTGCCTCCTTGCTAATACCTGCTGCCCATGAGAATTACCAGGAGGGAATAAATATCAGCTGCTTGCATTTTGTCATCAGCGATTTGCACTCTGAGTGCCTCCTAACCCCCTAGGCGCAATTATGGAATTTCAGGGGGCTAAGAAAGAGGTCCTCCTAAGAAAACTTGATTGTTTCAACGACAAAAAAAGAAAAGTAACAACAAAATCTCGAAAATCTCCAACACACTTGGTTCAGTTAATCTATGAAACAAAATTGTTTGTTGTCACATAGACCAAGCAAAGAGGAGAACAAATGTATCTCCCAGTTTCTAGCCATTTTTTCCTTTGTGGGGTAGGGACCCACAATCTCAGGGCCGCCATTTTACCCATGATCACTTCTGCATAGAAGGAAGAATCTGGGCAATAGACCAGCTCAGGGAGAATTAACTGGAAGCCCTGACATGAATTAATTTAATCCCACACAACTAATGAGAGACAGCATAAAATAATGGAACATGTGATTACAGCTCTAATTGTTCAACTGTATATTTTAGGAAATCTAAATCCAGATCAGGTATTTCCAATGAAAATGTTGATGTGTGCTGTAAGACATATTGAATTTTGAAGATTTAGAACAAAAAATGTAAAAAAGGTCGAATAATATTTAATATTGATTACATGTCAAAATGATAATATTTTGGATATTGAGTGAAATAAAATTTATTATGAACATGAATTTTACCTCTTTCCTGTCACTTTTAAAAGAATATGGCTACTGAAATGTTTAAAATTACATAAGTAGCTTGCTTTTTTTCCCTTATCAGCTAGCACTGCTATGGAAACCAGAAAATATTTAAAGCCCCCACCAGGTAGCTGGCCTGGTGCCCTTTAATTGGCTGCCCCACATTCTAAGTTTACTAATTTCTTCGCCTAAATCAATGTCTTTAGGTACCCAATGTCTTTATTATGCATCCTCAGTTAATGCTTATGTTAATACAGGCCATGTTTGGTTTGACTCTTCTGAAATGAATAAATGCTTGAACATCTTAGAGGAAAGTAGTGAGCTATGGAGGGTACCTATTGCAGTGCTGAGCCATCCCGAGCATCAATGCCCTTTCTCTGCGCCCTGTGATTCTCAGGGGTGGTTCCTGCGGGTCACACTTGTATTGGTCTTCAACAGATAGGAACATGGGAAGACACCTGACTCAAGCTGGACCAAGAAGATTCTTCTCCGGGGAGTCTGAAGGGGGAGGCCCTGGGCCCGCTGGTTCTGGAGCTTGAGGCTAAGCTCAGGGGGCTTGGGGTGTTTGACGTTCTTCCTGACCCACCCCACGCTTCCCTTGACCTCTAGAGTTTCCATCCTTTCTCTCCAGGTTCACACGTCTCCCGGACCACCAACCACAGCTCGTGCAGAGACCTGTGGGTGGAGAGAGTGGTGTGGGGCGGGAGGGGAGCAAGCAGAAAAGGGCCCAACCTGTAACATTCAGCCCCTCCCCATCGTTTACCCCTCTTCACTTATGCTGAGCCCCCAGCTTCTCACGGGGCTCCTCACTGATGGACCCCTCAAGGATGAGCCCCCTCCCTCAGTGGGCCCTCCTTGCCTCACTGAGGCCCCGCCCACTGGGAGTCCTCAGCCCCCTCAAGGAGTCCCCTCTCCACAATTTCCCCTCCACCCTCGGCGGTGGCCACACCCTCAGAATAGCAGCGCTGGAGGCCTGTCAGCCTGAACTGGGCCCAGAGGGGAGGAGGCCGTGGAGTCAGCTCCTCCCACCTGTCTGGGACCCTCCTGGAGTGCTTACTTCCCTGTGCATCCTCAGGAGCAGGGTGGGCTCCACTTCCACTTCCTCCCTCATCATTGCTTCTGGCCAGTGAATGACTCCCAGTGGCTCTTCTTCTGGGGCAATTTGTCCCTGTGGGCCCTGGCCACCAGGTACTGTGCTGACCATAGGGCAGGGAAATTTTGCCTAGAGGTCAGACCTAGAGGGCGGCAGTCTGGTCTGGGTGCCCATTTTCAGAGGAACATTGATGACCAAGAGGTCGGGGGTCAGGGGCTGGCATGGGAGGGACTGGGAAACCTTCGGGCCTGGGCTGCCTCCCAGACCTGCCCCCTCAGCATGGGATGGACCCACGGAGGGGAATTAACAGAGGCAGGAGCAATATAACGGAGGGTATTTTAACAGCCAGGACTCCCACAATACAACTGGCAGCCTTGGAGGGGTCCAAACTGAAAAGGTGGGCTGCAAGGATACACAAGACTCCTATGGAGCAGTCGGCTGTTCTCTGGAATTTTAGTGGCTCCCTCTGTGGCTTTTGCACCCCAACCTAGATAATAAAGGAAAAGAAAAAAGATTCTTCCCGTGGGAACTCGAAAAGAAGTCTTCCTGAGAAGATGGACCGGTAGCATATAACCTCAGAAGTGAGGAGTGTCTAATTCTCCAGTAGGGCTGCGGGAATGTGGAGAGCTGTCCTACAAAGAGAAGGAGAAGACAGGAAAAGGTGGAGAGAGAGAGAGAGAGCAAGAGGGCGCACGACTTTCTAGGTTCCAGTTCTGGTTCCTTACTCAGGGAATTTGTGAAATACTACTTTCGTCATAATACTTCCTCTTTTGCTTACAGTATATTGAATTGATTTTTTCCCCTGGCAACCAGTCTTTTTTAGTAAGTACGGTATTTTAAGGTCATGAAGTTATGAGTCAAGCAGACTTAGGTTTGTATCGTTCTCTAAGAAAGAGGCGAAATAATCCTTCCTTCCTGGGGTTGCAGAGGGTGAGATGAGACGATGTGCGTCAGATGCTGACATTGGCACTTTGTAATTGGTCCATGTCATGGGGTTTATATTACTATAAAAGTGAGCTCAATTTTTCCCTGAGAATCCCGAAGGGGTCTGGGAATAATGCCTTTTATGGGTCAAGTGAGGTTCTCCATTGTCCAGTCCATAAATACCCCCTATCTAATTTCATGGCGTGGATAATAGCCTGCCTTCCACTGGCTGGACAGACCCAGACCAATCTGTGATAAGTGTTCTTAGGGTCCTTTACTGCATCCATAACCTCATGGCTTCTCAGTGTCCTCACCAAGTCCTCCTTTCATTGTTAATCTCATCAAGGCATTAGGAGAAGGAATATGTTTCTTCTTCCACAAGATTTTGTACAGTAAATGAGAACAACAGGAAGAGGACACTCCAACAGCTTCCTTGTATGAAGAATGTGTTGCAATGTAGATTCTGTACTAAGTATGTTACATGTCTTATATCTAATCTGCATGATGCATCTGCAAGGCAGGTATCATTGTCCCCAACTGACATCACAAACTGAAATTCTCAGAAGTTGAGTGGCTTACCCTAGGCTACCTTGGCTACCTTTAAAGCCTGCCTGGACTGGATGGAGCTCTAACCCTTCAGGCTGTGGGACCTTGGGAGGGTTCCCCATCTGTAAATTGGGGAGAATATCAGTGCCTATTCCACGGTGTGGTAAGGGCTAAATGAGAGAATGCATGTCAAGCACTTAGAACAATGCTGTCCACGTGGTGAGGGTCAGTTCATGTCAATTATTGTGTTGCTTCCTGTTTTCACAACCTTCAGTGTCCCAGAGAGGTCACAAAGAACGGCTTGCTAACAAGCGTTAGCATCAGTCCAGAGGGGGAACTAGAGGGCAGTGTTCTCTCTGAAGCCCACCAAAGCCCTGAATGAAGGTGCCCACCTATTTTTCTGCCCCTTGAGGTTGAGCTCTCAGTCAAGTAGCCTCATGGCTGGGATTCCTTCACAGTACCAGGGGCTCATCCCTCGCACGGCGCACAGGTAGTAATAGATGGACTTCGCACGTCCCGCCCTCACTCGGCGGCAATACCAAGTCCATTGCGGTGAGGCCTAGGTGAGGATTTGCAGCAGCTGGAGGTTGTGTTATTTGGGGTGAAATTCACCTGCTCTCTCCCACCGTCTTGGGAGGGAGGAATTAGTTGTTACATTATTGTGTAGGAAGCAGGTCAGCATTGTGTTATAGAAAGGACAGTAGAAGAGGAGAGAGGCCATTCTAGGCTTGACTTGTCAGGGAGCAGGCTGCGTGACTGTGAGCACTGATTCTGGGACGGGACCCTCTGCCTGTGAAACGAGAGGCAGAGCGAGACCTCCAAGCTCACGTCTAATGCTGATACGATATAGGAGAGCCTGGGACCCTGAGACCTAGGCTGGCTAAGAAACCAAGATAAGACAAGATGTTGTCCCTAATGAAGTCATATCGGGCATCCAATCTTATATTTACATTCAGATGGTCACATTTGCTAGAAGCATTAATTTGGGACCTATACAAAGCCTGAGCTCACGGAAATGACAAGTGATGACTTTTTGTCACTAGGGAAGATCTAAGGTAAACAGAATCTTTCCTCCCCCCACCGCTTCCTTCCTTTCTCCCCCCTTCTTTCCTTATTTGCTTTTTGCCTTCATCAAATGTTTATAGAGCCGATATTTTGTGTCCAACACTATGCTTGGTTCTGAGAATCAAAAGATGAATGAGGTCTGAGTAGGGTGTGTGTTACTGCGGGTACTTTATTCAATTTTGGATGCCCGTTGCCTAGAAGCATAATTATAAATGTTTGCTGGGAAAAAAATGAATCAAGTTATTAAA